CTAGAACACCATTTAACAAAACAAAGGCAAAAGGTTCTTAAATGAATAGATAATGAATACGTAACCTCTCTCCATTCCAGCTTCAAACTCTTGACCCACAAGTTGGGCCAATCCTGGAATTCATTCTTTTAAGATATGGCTGTGAAGCTTACTCCCTGACCGATGAAGATAGAAGGAAAAGGGGGGATGTGATGTCCCCTGCCCCAGCATCCCAATAGCAGAAATCCCTTGAACAGTCTGATTCATCAAATGATCCTCAAGTTCTAACCAATGTCCAACCACCAAATAGCTTTTTCTAACATATATTCTATGCCATTTCTCAATTCACTATTTCATTTGTATCAAATAAAATGTTAAATGACTCAGACTCAGGATGTAGCTCAGTGGTAGAATATGCAAGAGGTCCTGAGTTCAATCCTCAGCATCATCACCCCCAAAAATCTTTCAACTATATTGAAGCAAAGCTGTAACATACTCATATATCATACTGAGTCCTTGTTCATCCAAAAGAAAGTAGAAATCCAAAAGAAAGTAGAAATAGCTATCAAGTTGTGATGGGCAATTACCATGGAACTTCTGATGTTCCTGATGATCCCCAGAGAGCAGTTTTTTAAGTGTGAAATTGTTCTATCATTTTATTTTGAAATAAGAAAATGAGTCCCTGTCTTATTTTCAAGGCCCTTGCTTACTTGGTGTATTAAGGTCAACACACTTCACTGCTTTGGTATTTAAATGGCATTTACTAAATGTCACTTACCCATATGGTTCCTGAGATCATATGTCAATGACCTAATGCAGTTTGTAATGCTAGTTTCTTAAAAGCTCCATAATACCTTATCCTTGATTATGGGTATGAAGTTATTCATAGCAATGCTATTAAGAAAACTTGCACTTGACTTTAACTTTGTAGAATGCTATTGGCAGTGACCTGCCTCTCACAGGATTTGTGGTGTTCTCAAAAGCAAATTAGAATGGTCTGCAAATGGCCCTGTTACTTAGGAATACAGCAGATGGAACACACATATGTGGTAATGGGAGGTGTTGGAACTGATCTTTTCTGGGCTCTTTCCTCCTCCCCAGCTCATTATTAATGATGCCAGGAGTATATCAATCATCTGTGGATGACATAATTGAGTCATATTCTCTTGAGTTTGTCACACTATTCTTACACTCTTCACTTTGGTAAGTTTTTATGTTGAGATCTTTGCTTGATGAATTAATGTTTTTTAATCCTTCAATTGATGTGTAATATTTCCCATTTACATTTACATTTGCTGGATTCTTGATGCCATTTCCTGCCCCCCTCTCATACTTATTCCCCATGACAGGAAAGTCATCATGGCATGCACATGGACAGGACATTAAACTCCATAAAAACCAGCACTTTGTCCTATCCTATATCCTTAGCACACAGGAGGTATTCAGTAAGCATATGAGTAAGTAGATGAACAAATCAAATTAAGATCACCATATGACATGAAGGAACAAAAGAAAACAGATTGAATCTTATTCTGATACAAGAGACTGAAACAAGAATGCAGTGTGTTGGATGGACAGGTTCCATCTCTGTGAGGTTGAAGCCACACCTCAGTGTTGTGGGGGAAAATTGAAGCAATGTAAGTGAAAACTTATGAACACAGAAAAGAGTCTAGAATGTGAGGAGGATCTGTGAAGAATAGTAAATTAGCAATTAAGTTATGGTATGGAATTGCAGTAATCCAGGGGTCAACCTCAGAGCAGGGTGCATTATTTTTTGAATGAATATGGTCATGATTCAGGCCTGTTATAGTTTGGATGTGAGGTGTCCCCCAAAAGCTCATGTGTGAGACAGTACAAGAATATTCAGAGGTAAAATGCTTGGGTTATGAGAGCCTTAACCCAATCAGTGGATTAATACCCCGATGGGATTAACTTGGTGGGAACTGAAGGCAGATCAGGTGGCTGGAGGAGGTCATTGGGGGTGTGCCTTTGGGGCATATATTTTGTATCTGGTGAGTGGAGTCTCTCTCTCTCTCTCTCTCTCTCTCTCTCTCTCTCTCTCTCTCTCTCT